TTACTACTGGCAACAGCTAAGCAGATGTATAGCGACTAAACCGACATCCCGAGTACAAGTGAACAAGAAGCCCTAGAAAAGATGGTCTCTAAGAGACAGGAAGGGAAGAATATAGCCAGTGTTTGTCCCTGCAAGAAAATGAATAAACAAGATGGCTAACAGATTTTCCTATTTCACCAACAGATGTCGCGCCCGATGCAGAGGTGCGTGTCACATATCGATGGTGTATACCAATGTATAAGTATGGTAGAAAAGAACCTTTCTTTACAACACAGAAGATTCAACAAACTCTTGCATCTAAACTTCCTTTGTTAGCTGTGTCGGAGCCACGCGCCACTTGTTACAATCAATTAGTGCGCTTCTCTGATTGGTGGAGACGGCCGGCTGCACGCGACCGACCACGCGTTCCTCATTGTGTTGGAACCTCGAGACGAGGTGTAGATTCCTGCGAATGTCCGACGACAAGCTTCACCTAAGGTTCCTCAGATTTCTTAATGCGTAAGGCCATGGGGACTTTTTCATTAATCCCTCGTGCCATGTGCGCGTGCAGCTGCGTGCATATGCATACTAATAGTATAAGATGCTGACATTTGGTGCTCAGCAGGAAGTCCAGCGTCGTTTTCCGAACCACGAAAATACCGATACAGAGCACTGTTTGCAACATAGTTGACGTTCACTGTTACAGGAAATAGCACTCCATTGCGTTCGAAATAACAGAATCGATTTGTGGGGCAAAAAAGGTTTATCAACTTCCAGCCAAATACTGGTTTTTCACCAAGACAAACAAAAACTGTGTGGCGAGTTTTATAATAAAGTGCACAAAGTATTGCTATTTTCAATAGGGATTCTAATAAGGAAAATGTTTATATATGAAATATATATATTGTGATTCCCCCTTACTATAGTTTGCCTCTTTCCCAAAACACTACAGCGTATACAATAGATCTTATAGCTTGTACTTTGTAATAATGAGAGAATTTTGAGGGGTTGCGGGTTCAAATCCCACCACCGAACATGCTCGCCTTTTGAGTCATGGGGACATTGTAATGTGATAGTCAATCCTACTATTCGTTGGTAAAGAGTTGGCGGTGGATGATGGTGATTAGCTGACTTCCCTCTAGTCTATCACTTCAAAATTAGGAACGACTAACGCAGATAGTTCTCGAGTAGCTTTGTGCGAAATTTAACAAATTTGAGGATTTGTTGTCTTTCATTAATTGTTAAACCTATGGCTTTTTCGGCATCTAAATATATTTGAATAATAAGAACATCTATAAAAAAATCGTAAAACATATTTCAACATACAAAGGTTATAATAGGAGTTGTTTGTTTGTAGTTAAGCACAAAGCTACACAATGGGCTATCTGTGTGCTCTGTCCACCATGGGTATCGAAAGCCGGTTTTAGCGTTGTAAGTCCGCAGACATACCGCTGTGCCACTGGGGGTAATAGGAGTTGTACCTGCAGTAAAATGTAAGTTATCCAAATAAATAAGTTGGTCTGATTAACGGTACACACGATAAGGAACTGAGATTTCCCATCACAAAATCATCCTTTCTGACTGCGTAATTTGCCGGATGCTGGTTTTAACTATTTGGTGATCAGCAAGATGGAAAGTATGTATGAATGGAAGAAAAATACAATGTAATGAAGATAAATTTAAAGTCACATGCTATTTTTTTTTTATTTTTAGGGTTCTGAGTTTTTTGAACAGTTTTTTTTCTCATAGTCTGATCTCTGCGGGAAAGTTTATTGTATAACGCTATTCTATCCGTGTTTTCAATCTTTCTAAGTACAGTGCTGCAGGCTACCACGAGGAAGATAATACAGCAAGAATCCGATTTTAGTAATGATAAACACAAGTAAATGTTAAAACAAATTTTTTAGTTTCTAAACGGCTTTGGAAGTCACTGTTTAACAGTTTTCTGACTGTAACTGTAATGAACGTATTCTGTAAAACTTGTGCAAAATCGAATAACAAATATTAATCCAAGACCTCGCGGGCCTAAATAAAATAAACTCAAAAGTCTAGCATCTCCATAAAACATTGTGATATTTCTTAAATGTTTTATTAAATTTCATGTATAAAAGAAATTTTTATTTGGATAAATGTGCTCGAAGTATTACATTTGATTTAGGTACAGACTTAGACATAGTACTCTGTACGGACGTAGTACAGATATAGTAATTTAGGGAATATTCTCGTCTATTAACCGATTTTAGTTTTATAGTTATAATCTTGTTTCAACAAGGTTTAAAGGAAAAAAAAACTGTTAACTTATGTTTACTTGTACAACAACAAAAGAAACCGTGTCAGGCGGCAGATGAGCGGTTCATAATTAATTTGCTTTGAGTCTCGTGACGAATGCTTCGACAGGTGTGCCTTCGCGCGCACGCGAGCAGCTGGTTTAGGACTGAATGCCTCTTGGTAACCATGTGGCTTAGAGCAAACGAGGTTGGATTGTAATCTCAATTTAAAGTGTTTATCTTCCGCAAATGTAGAGATTTAGCATGTAAATATTTCTTGGAAATATAATCTATGATACTTAAGGTTATCAAGTAAATTGAATGATATTTTACAAACGCAATGTTAGCTTAACTTGTAAAGTTTCTTAATATATAAGCAATCCTTAAGAAAATTGCGATTTCATGTAAGTTTTGAGATGAAAGATGCTTCTCTGAATGTTTTATAGGGATTATTGTAAATTATAGCTTTATTTTCACGATTGTGCTGGGAGATGAAAATTAAATCTAAAGTTCTGTAGTAATTTATTTTAAATTATTCGATGCATAAGTTATACAATGATTCTAAAAAGTATTGAAGTTAGTTGTGCTTAACCCAAATAATATTCAAGTCCCTTCCCCTAGTGGGATAGCAGTAAGTTTTCGGATTTACAACGCTAAAATTAGGAGTTCGATTCTTCTCGGTAGACACAGCAGATAATCCGATGGGGTTTGCTATAAGAAAACACACACACACACACTCAAGTCCCGAGTTTCCTCTGTAGCCGTTTCTTCCAGTGTCATCTAGTGGTCTATTTCCCGATCTTGACAGACTTCCCCTCCAAAACAACTTTAAGGTATAAAAATCCGTTGAATCTGAATTGTGAGATTTGACAGATGAACGGTCAAATGGAAATGCTGTGATTTCACCATCTTAGACCACAGTTATCATGAAAACAACTGTTGATTTTGAAGTGTGGCTCGCAACTGTGTACTTTTGCCTTTAGAGCCTTTGTCAGCTTAAAAACCATTGTTTCTTATATTGTTAACAGTATTAGCAGACATGCTTTTTCGAGTGCGAGCATTTTCTGTTTCTATGGAGAATAGCGAAGACTCTCGCTATTCTAAATGTTCTATGCTGTTGCTCTACACAATTTAAGAATATCGCTATACGAATATCCTTTCTCAGAAAACCTGGGATATTCCTTCAGTCGGAAATGTATTCGTGGCGGCATTGCCCGGTTGAATAGTCAGGAGTTTGCCGTAAACCAGCTATATAAGTACTACACTTGTCGCCCGTGGCCACACGGCTGGCAGATGCGGTGACACGCCACTGCAATAGCATGTGAAAATCATAATTATAAAGTGTAATTAACTCTGTATAACTTTATCTGACTATTATTGCATTGTTTTAGTACGATAGTTTTATTTAAGAAACTGATTTCAGAAATTTATACGAGTGGAATATTGATTTCTTCTGTAAAGTCTGAAATTAGAAATATTTTAATTTATACAAGATTTGATCACAAATGATGAAAATTACTATACTCACTCATGGCTCTATCGCGTACTATCACGTTCACTGACAACTGGAAGTAATGTCCTTGGAATTCAATTGTAAGAATATTTCGAAATTGAATTATGAAATCTTCATAATATATATCGTGAATTATTTTACCAGCAGGACTGAAGTTTTTTACTACTTCCGGTACGTATTTGAAATTGAAGTTTAATGCCCAAAAAAACTTATGAAACTTCGTCGGGTGGCTGAGAAACCTTTATGCGTTCTTAGTTTAATGAAGTTTCAAACATAATTTTTATGGTACGAAATATAATATGTTTTATATGAAATAATTATAAAAATCTCATTATGTTATTACTTTCTCAAGTTATTCAGTCTCTGGCCTTGTTGTAAGGATTGTTATTACTCTCTTATTGAATATCCTTATTTTCAACAGTTGATTTATTTAATCTTTCTTCTTCTGCCATCTGTTGAGCAGCTTTATAACTAATAGTGGGTTAGTTTGTGCTAAATTAAAAACTGTGGCAGTGCAATTCAATCATACAAAATTTATGTTTCTTTATTAAACATTTCAAAGATGTTTAACTCATGGATATTCTAAAAACGTGTTTATATCGGTTCCTCTTGGTAAGAGTAATTTACGGTTAATCTCATAGATGAAGATTATATGGAAGCTTACATACATTGTGCGAATGAATCTTTTAATATTAGTAGTCTTTTATTTTGTGTCATAAGACTAAAAGGAAAGCTCCATCTAAAAAGCATCTTACCGTGCCATTATTGCTCATGCGTGGATAAGTCGTCAGCTAGATGTTCGTATGAATGGCTCCTTATTACGCTAACCAGTAATATATGCAGCCGACGCACCCTATAAAAGCTTCGTGCCACGCGCCCGCCGCTAGTATCGTTGGTTGATCTGAGTTTGCTAGTCAGTGTGTTGTGATGTATCGCCCTGTACGATTCACGCGTGGGCTTTCGTACTAGTCCAAGCAATACTAACTACGTGAATATACCTTTGTGTATATATATATATATACTGATGTTTCAACATATAGATATCACCTTTTTTTGTATATATTTATAATTTTGCCGTACAATGTCGGCTTTGCTCTCCAGATGTGTGAAGATTGGAATGATTTGAGGTGATTATCAGTACTCCCTGTTCCTTGTGGATTTCAAAAGTGTGAATAACTCGGTGTGAATTTTACGTAGCTACAATATTTACCTACCCGTATATTATACCTGTGTTGTTTCAGAGTGCTGTCAATCACAATTACGGGCGGAGCCTAAACTAGCTGAAAACGAGGCTAACGCCGGTTCAGATCACTAGAGACTTCCAGCAGCTTACAAGAGAACGGTGGACTGGCGCGATGGGGAGGCGAGTATTACTGTCTTTGGTCGATGCTGCTTTGCTGATGTTTACTGTCATATGCCAGGTAAGTTCCCGTCTAGTCTGTATCGGAACGATTACACTTAGTAATTGTCTGAGTTTTGTTGATATTCAAGTTTTCCTTATTAATTTCAAATACTTTCGTAACATTCAAATATGCTAAATGTGTTTATATTTACATAACCTTTTCAAGCTTAACCAGTTAATCGTAATGAGCTCTGTGATATTGAGGTTACAACTGTTGATGTTTTCTGACTTAACTATTTTTTGTTTCTAGACTCACGGCTCTGGAGTTTTTGAACTACGTCTTGCTTCCTTTACTAACAACTACGGACGAGATTTTGAGGGGAACTGTTGTAGTGGATACCGTACTGCACAGGGGTCGTGCAGCAGTGTTTGCCGGACTTATTTTCGTGTATGTTTGAAACATTACCAAGCAACAATTGACCCCAACCCGCCGTGTACGTTTGGAGAGATCGTAACGCCCGTGCTTGCGAATGATTCTGTGTATCTTTTGGATAAGAAAATACATGGATTTAATAACCCTATTCGGTTTTCTTTCAGTTTTTCTTGGCCGGTAAGTAGTTTTTTGTTTTGTTTTTTTCATTTAAGCTATTCTTACCCGGCATTATGGAAAGCTACAATGATTCAATTCTGAATATTCAATTAATTATTTATGTCTAAACCAAAATATAAAAAATACAGTAATGTAGTGAATAGCATTTCACAGTATCTTAAACACTTACTTTAAGCAAGTTCACACAACATAGTTTTAATGCAAATCACTAGAGTTGTTGATGAATTACAAAGCGTTGAATATATTATATTAAAACTATTTTAAATGTGCAAATCAAAAAGCCTTGTGAAACCACAGCTGATATAAACTCGCAGTGAAACGGAATCTAACAAACCTACATCTTGACATAGTTTGGCGTTCGTAGATAGTGTAATGCCACCGAGGGGGTGGGTATGTAATAGTCCTTTCCGACGCAAAATATTCATACACTCGGATTGTAAAGATCTGTTAAGATCGGGGATTTTGAATTTCTGAGATTGGGATATCCATTGTACTTATTGACATTGGAAAACAAAGAAATATAGATCAACTTGGGGCGCCACGAACGTCTAGAAAGAGAGCTGCAACAAGTCACATTTACACTAGCTGCTTCCCCGCCATATCTGTTTAACAGCGTAATATCGCGAGCAGCTGGAGAATGAACTTGGTATTCAAGCTAAACCATTAGATGGCATACCAGTCAAGTTGCCGGATGCAACGCCTATGGATTTCCGTGCGATCATACTGTTGAAACAGGCGCTAGGAAACTGTCATTCTGTACACTATATTGATTATAGAAAGCATGAAAGAAGGAGGGTGTGCTTCGGAGAGGAAAGGCTTACGACGGTGACTTTTGCAATATAAACTAGGTTGCAAGGGCTTCTGTCAGAGTCGGATAGAACTGATGTGACGATATGTACAGTAGCGACGTGTTAAGGTTCCAAAGAAGTTTCTCAAACTCTAAGGTTACATTTTGATGTGCAGTACAAAGCAATAAAAAAAGTAAGAGCTTAAGTTGAGATTCTACTGGATACTCTTCTTATGCTCAGTATTGAAATTAGATTAGACGACTGCTTAGTTATTACGCTTGTACTAAAATAATCACTGGTACATAAATCAAACGTATGTGTCTTGAGAGTTGAATTATTTCCTGCTGTTTTGAAATGAAAGAGCTAAGAAATTTGGAAACTGAAAGTGTAGAATATTTTTAGAAAATAATACAAAAAATAGCAGAAATTATTTCCTGGAAATTTGTACTTCTAACCACTGAAAAGAATTATATTGAGACAATAATTGAATATGAAATTAACTTAATATTTTATACATTTCATAGTTTTAACATTTTATTGCTGTCAGTTACACTTAAAGCACTTTTGTAACTATATTTATGTATGACGTTTACCCTCTAACATTGTTTATTGTGTAGGTTTTGTTTACATTGTGTACACAGTTATTTAATTTTTATTTACCCTTTTTTAGTAATTCTTTGAAAAAATTAAAGTTGCAGACAGATAGAAAAAATATCTGAAAGTTAGTCACGCATGTAATATTTCATAACTGAAATTTGAACTTGTAAATTATAGTTAGAATGTAGCGCCATCTATTGATAACTTGCAAAATAAATTTGCACGAATAGAAATACTCCTGTTGGTTTTACCAATGATACATATATGGAGTTGTTGTTTTCTTAGCAAACAAGAAAGCTATGTTATAGCTGTTCATCAACAATAGGTTTCTGTGGCGCGTTAAATTTGTTTATTAAATTAGCTCAACCATTCATTTCTGTAACTTTTTATTTATTTTTTTTACATTACGAGCCAGTGAAGCAGAGAGATTGTCCACGGTTGGCAGACCGGTCAGCAACCTTTGTCTGCACAATCGGCAAGGGTTGAATCACAGATTCTTTGTTAGAAGTATTGAGGATAATACTAGTTGCAGGCCTACTGAGAGAGTGTATTATAACAGGCTCGATAATAGAATTTCACCGAGTAAAAAACATTACCTGTGTTTTGTATGTTCAAAAATTAAAAGTCTCAATGTGCTTGAATTTCTGTTTGTAGTTTAAAAAGCAAGTATCTTTTTCTATGCCCTATAAATATAAACAATTTTTGAGTACAAAAGTTTGTAGTAATACAGAAAAATAATAAGCTTTTCCTTATTCATAGGGGACTTTCTCGCTCATCGTAGAAGCTTGGCACGATAGATTAGCTGGAGAAGGTAAGTTTTACTGTCACAGAAAAATTTAGTTGTTTCTTATTAGTTACCTTTATTCATTTGTTGTAAGATATTTCAAGTGTTTCTTAATTTTGTTTAAGCCCGCGAGGTCTTGGATTAATATTTGTTATTCGATTTTGCACACGTTTTATAGAATACGTTCATTACAGTTACAGTCAGAAAACTGTTAAACAGTGACTTCCAAAGCCGTTTAGAAACTCAAAATTTTGTTTTAACATTTACTTATGTTTATCATTACTAAAATCGGATTCTTGCTGTATTATCTTCCTCGTGGTAGCCTGCAGCACTGTACTTAGAAAGATTGAAAACACGGATAGAATAGCGTTATACAATAAACTTTCCCGCAGAGATCAGACTATGGGAAAAAGCGTTTCACAAAAATACTCAAAACCTTAAAAATTTAAAATATGATATTTGCGATAAAATCATTGCTAGTTCATCCTTGTGATGGAGAAAGGTCAGCCTTGCCGGAATTCTATAATTATGACTACTTATCCGTTTGTTTTACGTGTGCTTGTTTTTCAAGTAACATGAGCCAACTGAAAGTACAGCTAGTTAGCCAGAGGTCGCCACTGTGTTGCCTGGTAGTTTTTTAGTCATTACATACTGTTTTAGAAGGGACGATTTGTTTTATAACGTTATCTGTCAGCTTCAGGTCAATGGGAAGGACCTTCCCACGCCAGTAACCGAGTTTCTTATTTCGCTAAGTTTCCTGAATGGCCAGAGAAGTTGTCGGAAGCGGTCAGCTGGCCATCTGGCGATGCTCTTGCTCGCTAACTCTCTCCCCTCCCACCCCCCTCTGGCCTATTATTCCACAACTTTCAAGGCCCTAATTCACCGACCGTGGGAAACTTTGCGCAAAGACCTGGGAACGGTTTGTAGTATAGCAGGGGTTGCTTCAAGGTGCCATCTAGTGGAAAGCGTGTATGAAAGCATATATCACGCAAAAGATTTGGCTTAAAATGACAAGAGAAAACTGAAACTAATAATTCGGTGTATTTAAGATACTAATACAACATGCGTTTATAAAATCCTAACCGTGATAACGTGAGATTTTTGATAATAAAAGAATTTTGAAATCAAGTTATGATTAAATAAAACTTTTACAGAAAGAATTGCAACCTATTTTGAAGTGTACTCACCCCATAAGTTAAACTATGATAAGTCGTACTTGACTAGCAGGTCTTACGTTAATTTCCAATTTAGCCAAAGGTATGCCGAAACTGATGCTTTGGTAATAATTATCGAAACAATGACTAAGCTTTAGAGATTCAATACATATAAAATATCTTTATATATATGTTGTAAACGGTTTTTGTTGTTATTTTTTTACTTTCTTTGGAAAGTGGCATTGAACCATAATGTTTACTACCTTTTGCTGTCTTCATGGTGATGTAACTTGGATAATACTGTTTGATCCACACAAGTTATTAAAAAAAAACCGTCAAAGAAAGATTCCATTTAGTTTACATAATTTAAATTAAACCATTTCGCCTCGTATCGCAAGTGTTTGAACATGAGAGCGTATATAGCAGGCAGTTATTTGTAAATTGATTGACTTAGGTAAGTGAATTACATAAGATGTCAAATATTTATTGTAATAACGAGAATTAACTTTTTCAGAGGATAGAAGAACACTGATCATCCGTTTGGCCACCCAGCGCTATCTACAGGTCACTCCCGAGTGGACACAGGATGTCCACCGAACAAACCACACAGTGATGCAATACTCGTATCGAGTTTTATGTGATTACACTTACTACGGTGAAACGTGCACCAAGCTCTGCCGACCAAGGGATGACAAGTTTGGCCACTACACCTGCAGTCCGACTGGTGAGAAGATTTGTCTATCGGGCTGGACGGGCGACTACTGCTCCGAAGGTAAGCATAACTAATTTACTCCGCCCTTGGGAGAGAACCATGCCCTGGTAATTAAAGTGTGTACCTATTTCACACCTTAGACAATAAGTAAACCAGCAGTGTACATGGCGAAGGTGATTTTTGGTAGTGAAATAAATTATGTAACTTGACTCAGTTTTTCAAAATAAATTATCCTATAAAGCAGAAACAATAGCCAAAATTTACGGATAATATAGGTCGCTTCCGTTAGGTGGCGGGACCAGTGCCCGAACTCCCTCCCTCTTCCTTCTTTCCTGGGGCAAGCTGTAGCTAGAAAACTCGCTGCTCTTTACTTCGGTAGCTGGCTTCTGACAATAAACGTACCCGGCTTAAGAGGGTGATCAGCTAATGTGCAGCTCCAAGGCGTCGCGAGTGTTAATATTTATTGTTAATTAAACAGTCTTTTTATACTCGTTTTTAAGTATTGTGTTCATTAACTTGACCTGTTTGAAAATGTAGGTACTTTTACAAGAAAATACCAGCATAGCAATTTATTGAAATAAGTTAATATAAACCCTTAGTTATTATTTTAGATAAATAAATATATATTTTGTTTAAAATGCAAGTTTTTGCACCTACAAGTGCTAATGAAACATTTAAATTTGTAGATTAATATTTTTCATGTGAACTTAATGTTACTGCGTTCTCACTGAGAATAAACAAATTTTAGGAAGTTGATGTGAATGTTTGTGAAATGTCTTAAGATTCAATTGCCATTGATCATTTATAACTGGCTTTTTTAAACTGTTTTTATCTTTTTTCTTCAGCTGTCTGTCGCCTGGGGTGTCACAAGACCCATGGGTACTGTACCAAGCCCAACGAATGCTTGTAAGTCATGTTTTCTTTCAGGCTTTAATTTGTTCAGTACGTGTGAAAACCATTATAGTTTTGATAGATGAAAACGGAAATTTTGATATGTCGGAAAATTTTTAAGCATATTTGAAAAGGTTTTAGACACAAATCTACACAGTTGTTAATAATAGGTAGGCAAACAACGATTTGTAACTTTTAAGCATAAAGAAGTTTTATTAATGTTCCACCATCAACAGAACTCATCCTTATACTTATAGATCGTTGTTTGCCTACCTATTACTATATTAGCATAATATGCTTTCTTATTAAAGTACACAATTGTTAACAGTTAAAATTTAAACCTAAAACAAATACTTGTAGATGGCGCTAGCGTCTTCTACTAGTATACATCATAATTATGATATTTGGGGATCTGACCATTCGCCAGGCATAAATATATTATTTGCTTAAACATTTAAAAACCATTCATTTGACATTAAATCTTGGATTTTCAGACCATGGTTTGATACAAAATTTGACACTGTCATTGAAGGTAACCCTGAGATGAAGTAGAAAAAACATAGGTCAATACAGGAATTTTTTTTTTATAGACGAAGGAACAAATAAACAAGGTTTTGTTGTTATTTCAAGCTACATAAAAAAAATTGATAATTTTCGAAGCTAATTTTACAGGTTTCTTTTTGTTCATTTTGTATTTCTTTATGGATTGACAACACCTTCCCCATATTAATACTCATTTGACTTTAATGTCTCAACAAAGTAAATCGTGTACGATTTTCTAAACGACATTTTTAGGTATTTCAAATTTCTTACTTTTTGTTAAATCTGTTTTCACTGTTGTGTCTAGATGTCGCCAAGGTTGGCAAGGCCCCACTTGTCAAGAGTGTACCCGCTACCCGGGCTGTGTCCATGGCACCTGCACTGAACCCTGGCAATGTACTTGTGAGGAAGGATGGGGCGGACTCTTCTGTAATCAAGGTATAATTAATTTACTGTATAAACTCTTGAGAAAGTTGTATTTGACATCATACGTATTAAACTGGAAAGTAAGGTTAAAACTGTGTAAGGAATATAAACCATTCACACTTATGAATACAGAACTTTGATCTAAACCAAACTTCTCATTCTTCCAGATCTCAACTACTGCACTAACCATAAGCCTTGTAAAAATGGCGGAACGTGTACAAACACTGGTCAGGGGTCCTACACCTGCACCTGCCCTGAAGGATTCACTGGACCGGCCTGTGAAGCAAACTTCGATGATTGTACTCACGAGCCTTGTTTAAATGGCGGAACGTGCAAGGTACGTTGTAGTACTTTTAGATTATAAAAAATGATCTGTAGTGATTAGTTTTAGGTGACGTATTTGAAGACACATTTAACAAGATAATCCGATTTAATTGTTTGAGGGTAGTATAACAGCATTTCTTAAATTACCTAACAGTTTAACTAAGTAAGTCTGTTCTTAAAACATTTTAAACAAAATCAACTTTGAGGCTAACTCCACAATGTATTGTCTCTCGCCAAACGAAAAGATTGTAAACAAGTGTGAAAGCTTACATCCAGTAAATACGTTATAGAGTTAGCCTGAAAGGGGATTTTGTTGTTTTTCCCACAAACAAGTTGAGTGTTAAAGCTTACATCCAGTAAATACGTTATAGTTAGCCTGAAAGGGGATTTTGTTGTTTTTTCCCACAAACAAGTTGAGTGTTAAAGCTTACATTGGCTACTTTTTGCTTTATATGTCTAAAACCTTTATTTTTTTTCTTTTGCAAGTAAATATTTTCATATTAAAAATACAGTGTATACATTAATTAGCAAGCACTAACTGGGCCAAGTTGATTCCAAGGTATACTTTTAAATTTTTAATACTCGGATTAGAATAGCTAAAATGTTAAGCTTAAAGCTTATTACAGAATAAACAGGTTAGTAACTCACGAAAAAGAGATAGTTGCTGGTGGAAGTGGTTTGTTTTTATGGTAATAAGAAACGTGCTGTACGTATATGTCTGCAAATTTTCTGACTACCTAACTCTTGCCTTATAGGGTAAAGGCAAGAATTACACGTGCCACTGCCCCCTGGGTTACTATGGAAGGAATTGTGAGACCTCAGCCAGTACATGTACAGAAAACCCATGCCAGAATGGAGGTTCCTGTATGGACCAATCTAGTGGATATCGGTGCTTCTGTGCTCAAGGATTTTCTGGGGAAAAATGCGAAATTCAGAAAAATAAATGTGAACCAAATCAGTGCCAGAACGGTATGTTTAAACTTAGTGCAAAATAATAGGTGATATTTAATTAATACAAATGTATTTATAGTAGTTTTGTCTCAGAATCTTAATTTCATCTATGTCATGAGTTTTCTAAAAATCATGTAACTATATCGCGTGTTCGTAACATATTATTGTACGTGTGTTTGTACAAAATATAAAAGCACCATTATTTCTGAAGCTCTAACTTGAAACAATATGTATTAAGAGTATGAAATATAAGCAGTTCTTGTTCTGCTATTCTATAGGTGGGAGTTGTGTGGACCGGTCAGATGGATACACGTGTATCTGTCGCACGGGATTCACGGGGGTGAACTGTGAAATGGACATCAACGACTGTGCTGATAACCCTTGTTTAAACGGAGGCACATGTGTGGATGATGTAAATTATTTTCATTGCTCGTGCGTACCTGGTTTTATTGGTTCCTTATGTCAAAAAAACGTGGATGATTGTCTGACCAAGCCATGTGCAAACGGTGGCACGTGCCAGGATCTGGTAAACGACTTTCAGTGTCTGTGTCAACCAGGATTTACATCAAAGGATTGTTCTGTGGAAGTGGACGAGTGCAGCTCAAGCCCCTGTCAGAGGGGAGGAACTTGTGTAGATCGTGTCAACGATTTTGTGTGCGTTTGTCCATCGGGATTTGGTGGACGGTTGTGTGAGCGTGATATGGGCAACAGTGCTCAGAGAGCCGGGAATATAATTACTGAGGGACAGAAAGTGTACACTTCGCCAAGTACGGCTATCTCTAGCGTTTCAGACAAGGATAAGCATGTGGCGCTGATTGTCACATTTTCAGTAATGGTACCTTTGTTAGCCAGCATCGCTGTGATCACTACTTTATTGCTTCGACGAAGAAGACGTAGAGAGGAACAAAAGCGAGAAGAAGAAGCAATGCGGAAGCAAAACGAGTTTAATTCTGTACACAGTATAAACAAAAAATGTTTAGACAATCAAATAATTAATACTTTTGAGCGACCAAGCTCGAAACTTTTAAACAAAAGCACCGATGATGAAAATTCTGCGGTGTTTGCCAAAGAACATTCTTTAACCCGGACCAAGTCCACGAAGCTTCATAATACAGACTGGTTTAGTAGTAAAGTTCTGGACGAAACGAACTCGGAGAAACATTTAATCAATTCACAAAACAATTTAGAAAAAAAGCAACAGCCTGTAGAGCAGGTGCAGCCGTCCTCAGCGAGTCAAAGGTAAATTATTGTTGTTTGGTTAACTACGTAACAGCTAATTAATGTAATATCCTTTGTGGCGGAGTGATTGATACGACTAAGATTTTCTAATAAATGTTTTTAGTAAACAGCACTTGATAAGAATAACCAAACACAAATCAGGTTTATCAACAGCTGCTACTTCAAAAATTTAATTAATTAATCTTTTGTGGTCGTTCCGGTAAAGAATACTACACAAAATAGTAGTGGTTTTATTATCTGGTGTAATTAGATTAGTAGGGAATCAGTTGCTAACATTGTAAAATCATTTTGTTCACATTTCATCGCTAGTTAAACAGAAAAGCGACTTTCATGTAAAAATATTTGTAGAAGAACCTGAATATTTGTAACAACTTTTAGTTCCATGCTTCAATACTGCACGGACAACTATGGTTTAGATTTGTGGTTTTAATCATAACGATTAAGCTGAGAATATAGTATTGCGAATGGGTTGTAAGTTACGAGGTTAATTTGTATGGAATCTAAACACATTTATTTGAAAACACAGTAGTTCTTAGTGGTTTTTGTAACTGCATTACCCACATTAATTAGTATTCATTTATTTATATACAAACATATATATATATATATTTGTAAAATAGACCATCACATTCTTCTAACTGTGTTTTGTTTTTTTCCACAGTGAAGTGTCGCCATATACGGGCACATGTTCTCACAGTAGTATATATGTTATAGAAGACCACTATGTTTCTCAAGGTCATAAGGGAACGTTGGCAACTGAGGTATAGCTTCATCACACAACACCTACCACTACAGCCCAAAGATAGACTGGTCCAGTCAACCTATTTATTTATATATGTCATTCTGTACAGTGTCGAAGAAAGTGCCTTGTGTGTTACGTAGCTTGTAAATAGTCACAGAAAAGTGTTTATATAAGAACTGTAAAGTTAAGTCAAACTTTTTATTTGTTTATTTATATTTCGTATATTTTTATATATTTTCTTTCTCGGTAAGCTCCAGTGAGAGCTGGCAACAGTTTGAATCAAGTTATAATGACACAGTAAAGACGTACTGCGGTCTAGTTCAACATTGTGATTTTACAAATAAATACTTAGGCAGAGACTGTAAAGAAGAAACAAAAAAACGAGTATATATATATATATTCAGTCATGTTGCCTTGTTTGCCTTTACAAAATGGGATTTTTGTTTCTCCTAAGAACTATTCTTGTCATGATGTACTCAAAATGAAATATAATTGTGAGACAAAGTGTAAATAATTGTTAATAGTCTCTGTACTGATAGCTAGATTAATTTAAAGAACATTTGCTGCCAAGTTGTATATTTATAGGTCATGTTGTACAAAAGCCTGTGTTAATGCCCTATGGCCAATAAAAGTCATGAACATTTATTTTTGTACCTAGATTTCTGTGTCGTTTTTCTGCAAGTTACTTATAGTTCTGTTAACAGTGCTGGTACAGCTGACTTGGCCAGCAGCGTCATATTATCACAGTTCTGCACATTTTGATTCTCTACAAGTGAAATATGAACATATCAAAATAGGGAGTGTTGTAGGTTGTTTTGACATCACTTTGTTAAAAGCATGCTATACCTGCACTTTGTTTTCCCACTTTATATCCATCAGCTTTATTTAGGTTGTCCTTACTTATTTCTGTCAGGAATTGACTCATACCAATGTAAGTATAACAGATTGCTGTATATTACCATAATCAATAACCCATAGATTTCGAACTAGATTTTGTTTCTTACTGGGAGCCTATTACTTCCTTTCATCGCCTCTCTAGGTTTATTCATTCTCTCTTATATCTCCTTGTCAGTTTTCTTTCGTTGTATTCCTGTCTTTCATATCCTCTTCTCAAAAAGCACGTGTTTCCCTTGTATCAGATTACAACATCTCGTAATCATAAGGGTCCAGTAATCTCTACTGCGACTGAATAAGAAAGGCAACCACTCCCTCCAATTATTTTCTAATGATTTAAAGTGCTGTAATTCCCTCATCCAGCGTTTCCCAAACTTTTTTGGCCACGGAACACTTTTCAGCTGAGAAAAACCTTACGAAATACTAGACACATGAAACATCGGTGTAGAGGGTATGTTGCGCGCAGCGCCCTCTAGATTTGTATATTATTCATATATTTATTTAATCAAATTACATATTAATGAATTTTCACATTTTTATGCCTACAATATATTTTAGGTACAAACCTCTCCACTAAGATATTATGTAGAATAGATATGGCATCTTCTATAATTCTTCTTCAATGCGAAATCAATATTATTTAATTCTAACACATAAAAAAATATTTCGTAAGAAGTCATAATCGTACAAAAAGTGTTAAATATTTTATTAAAGTTTAAAATCATGATTTTCTCACGGAGCACCTATCAATTTCGGACAGAACACCACTGTTCCGCAGAACATAGCTTGGGAAACGCTGCCCTAATCCCTTTGAGACTGACCAAAAGCTAGCCGCTTTCTCACCTTTTTTAACTCCAACTGATGTTCCTTGCACCTAACTTCACGACAGGGAGTTTTGAGAAATTAATAACTTGGCTTCCGAGGAATATATTACTTTGAAGTATTTGTGGTAAATCAAAGTAGAAAGAGTTAACATATAATTAATAATTACGACCCAAACCTTTGTATAACAAGAAAAAATGACATTCCAAACGGTGCTATAATATAGTATCTCCAAAGCTCATATTACGTATGTCATAAACACTACTGTTGGTGCTGAGCAATGTGGTACTGATTGTTGTGTAGATGGCAAGTCTTTCCTGGTTAAACACTACTGTTGATGCTGAGCAATGTGGTACTGATTGTTGTGTACATGGCAAGTCGTCAACTCTTTCCTGGTTAAACACTACTGTTGATGCTGAGCAATGTGGAACTGATTGTTGTGTAGATGGCAAGTCCTCGGCCCTTTCCTGGTTAAACACTACTGTTGATGTTAAGTAATGTTGTAGTGTGGATGGCAAGTCCTCGGCTCTTTCCTGCTTAAACACTACTGTTGATGTTAAGTAATGTTGTACTGATTGTGGTGTGGATGGCAAGACCTCGGCTCTTTCCTGGTTATCCTAATATGAGAAGTTTCTGAAAGCAACATTCTTAATTGAATCTTGAATTTATCTTTCGAGAAGAAGATAGAAGAGGTGAAAAAATGAAGGTAGGTCTCTCCCATGAAAGCGTAACAATGTAAATGTTTCAATAGGCTGCATCTCTGTACTGAAGGCCCAAAAGTAGTAACAAGTGTAAGAAGTTAAGCAATAGTAAAGTATACCTTAGTATAGTGACACTAACGATGTTGACTAGCTAAGTTAACCGAACACCAAGTAAATCTATACTAGATGACACTCCTTATACCAAAGTTGTTATAGGAACCAATCATATCTTATAACAAGTCTATTAAAATATCCAGGCAACAAGTAAAACATTTGCCCTAAAAATGTACATAATTTATCCATGCAAGAGAAACATACGAAAATGTATCCTGATGTTATTACGTAGAAAATACTAACTAGATGAAATTTATAAACACCTATTAATTTTCTGGGTTCGGAATACTATCACATACGCTATAGATGTGTTACTAATATATTAAATAATGATACACTCCAGAGAACAGCTACATACTGTAATATTGTAGGGCAGTTTTACTCATAAGAACGTCAAGTTCATTGGTGCCCGATATCTGATATATGCTTCACGTTATCACACCTGTGTTATAGTCAGTTACCTGTTGGCGATGGGCAAGAAATATAAGATGGGGGATGTTTAATATCCAGTTTAATACAATAATGACTAAGCAACTGAAAGCTCGGGATGGTTATATATGTATATATTTCTTCCTTTTTTTAAGGTAAAATTTGAGATAAACACTTGTTACATTATAACTAATGGCGGATATCAGCCGCGTCTTTCAACTATTATACAGTAAAAAAACTTTAATATTGAAAGTTATTGTCCCATTTGATTTGAAAGATAATTTACTGTTTTTCTTCTCCTTAATTTTACTTCTCAGTCTCGGTAATATTGTATGATATTAACTCGAGGTACCTGGATTTAACTATGCGCCATTAGGCTAATATAATCATCCTGACATTGATAGGTATATAATTCATTCAAGGTAAGAGACGACATATTCCTTATCGATGTCAGCCTAGAATTGGTCTTAAAGTTAATTTAACCATTCTACAGGGATGGTGATCCACCTTAGGAGTGGCACCTCGAATACTATAACTTTGTTTCGGGGGATAAATCATTCCCCTTCCTTTTCTCCTCGCATCTTCTCACGAGACGTTCTCAGGCAGAACATTATACCCAACTACACGAAGGTGGTTGTTCGAGGAAAGTAGCAGTGCTTCTCCCATTTTTCTGTAATTAATGACATTGTTTAAGCTACTACTGAGCAAGTATGCTTACATTCTATACGCATGCGCGGGCATGTGGAACCGGTCGCTTGATGCCGTTCTGTAAAAGGCAGCTTCCGGTGATTTTGGTCATGGCACTGTGATATTCGAGGTGCATGACCGTTCAAGGCTTTCGTAAGAAAGAAACTCAAAACACGAGGTATAATTTCATACAATGTGCCTGACAAAATTGGCCTTATTTTTTTTCTTTAAATGGGTAACCTTTGGCACTTTGACTTACACGTATAGGCTTGGATTTTTTCCTCCAAACGTTCAAATTGTGCATGAAAAGATAGCACCTACAAAGCGTGAGACCACTCTGAGTTATGAGATTATGTTTTTCTTTTCCTTTAATGAGTGTGATTTATTCGAAGTTTATGATCAGCTGAGGGCAGCAAAACTATTCTCGTCGTGCGTTATGAGTTAATGGTCATGTCAGAAGCAGTAAACCCTCTAATCTATAGGTCACATTCCAAAACAATCACGCATGCGTAATACTGCAGAAATTAACATTATTCCGTGACCGGGTGGTTTTCTTACTAAGCTAAATACAGCTGCAAGCTTTGAAAAAAGGAGAAAAAGTGAGAGAGATGTAATCTCATACGTGAAGTCTATGTTTCATTCACAATATATCTTAACTAACATATTATCTTAATACTATATATATATATATATATTGTGTCTCTCAATGCCATGCAGGTGACATCCTAAGAATATTTCCAGGAGATTTAAAAGTAGATTTTTTATCACTAGTGGTCTTCTTTATTAACATGCTAATAACCATCACCCTGAATAACCATCATTCTAAAAACTTACGGTTAAGCATAGAAAATAAATTTAACTCATTAAGGGTCAGAACTTTCATTTTAAATTTTAATTTGTTTTTTGTTTCTGTGTGTATAGCGTTCGAGATGTCATATAAACATGAAAACACTATGTGATAAAACAAATTGTAAAACCCTATAAGGCAAGGCCGTAGAAAGCGATAAGGCTAGTCAAGCCATGAAATATATTAAAACTTGCTTCTTTAAATTCAATACATTACGTTGTGTATATGCAGTAGTTGTAGTTAAAATACTTCAAGATTCAATCTCATAGCATTAAATTTTCAAAACTTTTCTGGGAAGCATGACCTCAGACCTCCCTAGAAATGGCAATGTGGCAATGGCTTGACCATTCCGAAATTGCTTCCTACGGCGATGCAATGGTTGATGAAATATAAATAAATCTCAATTAGCTTACATTTCTATGCCAAAAATAAAGAAAAATCTTCCAGTGTCAGTAAACTGAAAAAAATTAAACAATTCACTCATAAGATTTTGATTAATAATAATTTAAACTTGCCTCCTAAAATTGGGACGTATTTCTATTATTTTAGATATATGGCGTATCAGTCAAGTAATAAATTATTTTTTCCCCAAAACACGTTAGACACCGTGTTCACGCTTTACTCTTGCTGCCCAATACAATTAGAATTGTCAAGCATGGTTTTAGTATGAGAAATGCGTTCAGAAATTAGAACCAATAAACCTTACGAACATTTCCTTTCCAAGCTACCTATGACTCATGAAAACTGCAAAGCCTAAAACACACACACAAACAAAAAGAAAAAATAACTGAACCACAATATTTCTTTTAATCAAAGCTGTCTAGTCTTTAGTACAAAAACATTTTAATCGAAACAACTAAGTTTCTTGTGAACAGGCCCGGCATGTCCAGGTGGTTAGGGCGCTCGACTCGCAATCTGAGAGTCGCGGGTTTGAATCCCAGTCCCACCAAACAGGCTCGCACTTTCAGCCGTGGGACGTTATAATGTGACGGTCAATACACTATTCGTTGGTAAAAGAGTAGCCCATAAGTTGGCGGTGGGTGGTGATGACTAGCTGCCTTCCCTCTAATCTTACGCTACTAAATTAGGGACGGCTAGCGCAGATAGACCTCG